TGCAATACAACCACCCAGCATCACTTTCTGCTTCAGTGAATTTATGGGCCGGAGAGATCCAAAGACTGAGCAGCCCGAACAGACTCGAGCAGCCCAAATAAATCAGACTCGAGCAGCCGCAACCTGGGGCACGAGAGAGCGGCGGCGGCGGGGAGCGGCAGCGCCACGCGGCCCCGCTCAGCGCCCTCTCCCACGCCGAGGGCGCGCAGGACGCCCGTCCTTCGGGCCAGCCCCGGCCAGAGCCCTGCCATAACCCGTGCTTCCCCATCGCGGCCTCGGGCAACCGGCCTTGCCCAGCTCCGAGGCCCCGGCCCGCGGCCAGCGCTGCCCGGCACCACCCCAGCAGGACCAGGCACGGGTAACAGAGCAGATCATCACACCTTAGGTGAAGTCCTGACACAGCAGGGTTCGCACTCATTTTTGTCCTTGGCAGCATTTTTAACCAAAGACCTCGGAAAGGGGCCAGCAGAAGAGAAGCGTCACGTGCCGTGAAGGTGGGATAGATCGGCATCGCGCTTCCCGATTCAGCCGCGCGGACCCCGTGCCACAGAAAGGGCTCCGGCCAAGCACCCCCGCGCTGCTGGAGCCACAGAGCTTGACCCCCTCCTGCCCAGGAAGCCGCTAAGCAGGAGACATTCTTCTGAATTTGACTCTGTGGAAGACAGCCCTCTGCTGCAGCTACGTAGCAATGGATTTTATAAAAACATCTATTGTCAAATCCATGCAATTTCTGCAGTTTTTCCATTGGATTTCTCTGTCCACGTCCCCAGGGTAAACTCGAGATGGGAGCAGGAACGACGCGATACACCACTGCAGAATAAGCCCTTACGCTGGCTGACACAGCTGCGCTCTCCGTTTTCCTGAAGTGACGCCAGAAACTGGTACAGTGCTACTGCGGATTACAAAACCAGCAGCTTTCCTGGGGATGTAACACAGGAATGGGAATTCTGGTGGAAATAGTTGAAAGAAGTTGAAAATCTTGCCGAAACCCCTTTGGCTCAAAGCCTCTGCTCCAGCCCCCCAGGGCACCGCCGAGCTCAGGGCAGTCTCCCTGTCAGCCAAACCTCAGCAGAGGCAAGGTGAGGGGCGAGAGGAGACTCTCGCTTCCAGATCCCTGGACAGAAATGAAACATAAATGAGTCCTGCACGCTCTTACTCAGTCCCCCCCAAAACTCAAACAGTTCTTGTGTGAACAAGCTCCCACCCGACAAAGTACCCGGCGTTACCACCCCACCCTCAGGGCAGCCCACATAGTGCTGAGGGGGCAACAGGAGCGTTGCTGTCAAAAGGGTGACCCACGACTGGCCCGGGAGATGCTCTTGCACTTCCCTCTGCACGATCGGCAGCTCTTGCGGGAGCCTGCCAGAGGGGACAAAAACCAAAATCCCCCAAATTGTCACGGAGCTCACGCACAGCGACATCGCAACAAATGCTTAGGCAATTCAAAGGTCCAGCTGCAGGGATGACGGGACAGGCAGCAATACGCTGCACGTGGCATCAGTACACTTGAGTGTAACTTGTTATCGACTGAACGTGCACGTCAGATGGGGAGAAACCTCCATAGCTCTCAGTGAACCTGTTAATAAAAACATGGCTCAAAGTCTGCATCTTGCCCATCTACAGTGACCAAGATCCACAAGCACAAATCAAAAAAGGCTACTGGGGAGTGGGGTGGGAAGAGGTAAATGACTTTGCATTTTAAATCTACTTTACAGTCCCCCTATACAGAGCATTCTGAGAAGGAGGGAAGAATCAAAAATTTATCTCTCTTCCAGGTAAAGGAAATCCAATAGGTTTTTCAATGGGAGTAAATCACTCACAGTTTCTTCTGGTCATGTCCAATTTCACACCATTACAGCAGGGAACCTACTAGCCCACAACACGTGACTTCTGCAGCAGCTGCTTGACATAAAATAACTGCGGACAGTGGGCTCCGAAGAGGAGCGGTTGAAGCAGAAAGGCCTCACGCCGCTGCCCCGGCAGTTACGCAGAAAGGCAGGAGGAAGAGGAGCGGGGCGCCTCCAGGCAGGCCCTCCCTCACCTCCTCACCCCCAGAGGAGCCCCGTTCCTCTCGCCGCTGCCTTTCTGCGGAACAGGAGCCCAGTGTTACCACCTCAGAGTACCCTGGTGCTCAGAAGACTCTTCTCAAAGACAAGGAAGAGGTGACACCGTCTTGCTCCTGGGCCAGCAGCGACCAGAAGTGCTTTGCAAAGGACACTAAGCCGTGGCGGGACAAGATAAAGCACTTCGTATCATTGCAGCTAAACTGGCCGAAACACACGTCAGTGCTCTAGCAAGGCATGCAAGGGCAGAAGGTGGATGGACCTACACCACCAAACCTCTGCCAGCGCACCGAAGGCAGCAAACAGAGTCCCTTAAGGTTTCTGGAAGCATTGATGACTCCGTGCTAACTGCATACGCAGGCAAGGGCATTTTCTCCAAACAACAGACCACCACAAGGCCAAATACTAGACACGATTTGCATTAACTGAGTGTTGGTAGGAAAAAAAGGGTCTTTACGAGAAGTAACTTTGCAGCTAAGCACTGATCCAAGTAAGCAACGTGTATAGATGTATCCTCCCACACCCCTGCCTTCTGGGATGCCTTTTAAAAGCAGATGGAGATCTTTGCAAGTATCCCCAAACAAGCTGTTCTCATTTCCCATCTTCTCAGAAAAAAGCTGCAGTGCTTGGTTACCTCTGAAGAAACAGAGAGCAGGGAGTTTTAGTACCATCAATGCCACTGGGGACGTGATCACCTTGATCACATCCCTCCTGCTTTGTTATCACTGCATCAGTAACATGTTTTACAGACATCCTTAGTACCCCATCTTCTCATGGAGAACTAGATAGCAAAATGATGAGGGAAAAGCCGCCTCCCTGACCTTGGTTTTGTCTGGTACAGTTAATCACAGTTGCATTTATACCAAATATATATCTGCCTCTGACCGTTCCTAAGCAACTATGCTGACTGCTTAGGGCTTAGTTTGTCAAATCTGTCCCCAAAAAGCTCAAGAGGACCTCGGGCAGGGCAAGGCAGAGGAGGGAGAGTCCTTGCCCAGCTCCAGGCAGGACAGCCTCCACCAGCACACCTCCCTGTCCTGCCGTGGACTGCCCCACGGACACAAACAGGCACCCAGGGCAGAGCTGGCAGCTGCAGAGAAAGTCCACGCACTGCACCCACAGCACAGGTCCCCATTAGGGAGCTTTTGAGAGGGAAAGAGCTGAATTTTCTTTCAAATTACCTGTTTTGAGGATGAGGATTTCAGAAGAGTGAAGAGCAGCCTGGGTTTGCTTTTTTAAAGAAAGCCTGCTATATCAGTTAACCCAACCCCTCTCCTGCTACGGACACACATGCATTTCTTCCTCACCTCCCTGCCAAGAGCCCCCGAACATCTGCTAGAAAAGTCAGGGGGAGACAATGAAAAAAAGCCTGAACTAGGGAAATTTCCGTTCATGCACCCACTTCACTCTCTTCTCGTGGTCTGTCCTGCAAGAGGCACAAATACACACACCAGAGAAGGTGTTAAGAAACAGAGCGACAGGCAGCACATAGACAGTACCCACAACGTGCCGTAAGATCCATCGCAGCCCAATTTCCACGGCCTCCCCCATCACATTGTTCAGCTACACCCACCACAGAGCTCAAGATGACTCAAGAGCACAGCATGTCACTCAGCTAGAAGACAGCATTATTCTAAATTACACTGATCATGAGCTGATGTAATGAGTAAATTAATTTCCCCCCCCCCCCATTAATTCTGTTTCACAGCTGTGGGTTTTGACCACATCCTCAGTTTTTACCGGTAGCTCGCTTTTGCCTTCTCCTCCGCAGAACAGGTGCCTGCCCTGCACGGCCTCCCCTGCCAACTGACACACCTCGTTCCACCTTCTGCCCTGCCATAAAGCAAGCCCCCTTACTGAACTCCTGAAGGTGCCAGGGCTGGCTACATCCTCGCCTTCTTCTTTCTCAAATTACTAAACTTCTGCAAAATACATTCAGAAACACAGTAGTGAAGTGAGTCATCTTAATTCAGATTTTACAGTCACTTCTTGTCAAGGCTATGTGATTCTGGCTTGCAGGCGACAGGGCCAAAGGTGCTCTGTTCTATTAAAAACCCAGGTCAGTGCGTCCTCTTGAGCCTTAAAACCTTGAGTTACTTGAGAAATACCCACTCCCATCCACCACCCCCCCCACCTCCTGGGGCCAGCACTGGCTTTCTGCAACACTGGGGTGCAGCTGGAGGGATGCAGGGGACACCCACATCCAGGCACAGCACCGCAGGCCTCCCTCGGAGGCAGTCAAGGTGACCGTGCTCCTGCTAACACAACCTACAGCCTGTGAGAGCACAGCACCAGCAGAGCAAACCCCAAACCAGCTGGAAGCAGGGAAGATCCTGTGCCCAGAGAGAGCCGAGGGGGGCAGGGGAGCCAGAGCAGCCTGCAAATGGCACGCTACAAATGTACCTTATGAAGGTTAAAAATTTCTCCCCCTGTGTTCTCTCTCTTCAATACCACATGAGAGCCAAAGATAGAAATACATCATTTTGACCATCTTTCCTGACCCAGCAAATAGAATTTTTTTACCTATTATTCCCCCTTTCAAAAAATACACATCACATCAACATCAGGGTTTGTTTCCATTGGGACACCCGTTCCGTTCATTTTTCCATTCTGAACTCACTTTTACACAATGTAAATAAATGCGATCAAAAAAAGTAACTGCAATAAACTGCTATTTTCTCTGGAACACCCCTGCACATGCTGGTTAAGCTCGTGACAAGGTGTGCTACAAGGGTAAGTGGTACTAGCTGTAACAACCAAACTCTCTCTGGAGAGAAAGCAAACAGCACAGAAACACAGGTTCGACTGATCCCTGTGTTCCCTCTGCAATGCAGCATCTCACATCTGTAAGTCAATCCCAAATCTTCTTCCATTAGCCACCAGCCATCACACAAGCTTTGTTCTAGATAGGACACCACAAATACACCACACAAGGACTTAAGACACACCAAGCCGCTTGGCTCTTTTATGTCAGAATAGAAAATAACATTTAAGTTCTGGTACAGAAAGTCAACCAAGATCGGTATCTCCCACCAATACAGTCTGTTCCAGGCAGATAAGAAACAAGTGTTGGGACAAAGCTCAAAGCAGAACCACTCTGAGCAGAAATAGGGAAGAAACCTCAGAGGTAAATGCTGAAGAGAAATGGAAACCACGAATTTACAGCTTTTGATTTTTTTTTGCTCACCGAGGACAAGCTTCTTAAGTTGCTGGAGTCTTAATCAGTGTTAAAGGAAACACAAGAGAAAACCTCAAACCTAGCTGTCAACCCCAAGGACCTGGCTTGCTTGAATTTGTCTTTCTCAACAGCTGAACTGAACAAACGTCCTTCCTCATTTCCCACTTTTTATTTCCTAGTTCATATAATTTCTCAGTTAAGAAGCCCTCGGCTTTGTATCACAAATCAGCTATATTATTTATATTGTGCTCATCATCAAGATCCAAGCGTCCTGCAAAGTACATTAGCAGAAGTCAGCAACATCTGACAATGCCACAGATTTTTATTTTTCCATAATTAGTCCTCTCAATTATAATATTCATTCCATGGTGAGTAAGGCCAGGCTCAGCATCACCTCCTAATACATTATTGAATCAGTTTTGCTGAGAAGGAATCATATTATTAATTTTTTACCTTGGTGGAGTAACTGTTTAACCACAGGTGTATCCCAGTAGTTCAGCAGTAAGAGGATGTTTAGTTTCTCAAAGCACCACCTGCATTAATAACATTCATACTCAGTAGCATATTTACAATATAAAACTGATATTGCTCTCTTCATTTTACAAAAACCTTCATGAACAATAAGGATTAATCCTGCAGATCCCTTCTCATCACCTGTCTGCAGCAAAATGATTTTTCCCTGAAGTCAACTACTACCAACTCCACCGCTCCCTGTCTGGGCTAGCAGACCTCCCAGCTGCCCTGAATTCCACGTTTCTGCAGTACTCAGCCGAACCAAAGCAAGGCAGCTTCTTGCTTTCTCCTCCCCATCTCCAGGATATACATACTATGGCTTACCTACTAGCAGCAGGGGTACAATGAAGGTTCTATCAAAGCATTAAAGAGGCATACAAAGATTTCGTGATCTTTTGCTAGGGAGTGTTGCCCTTTTAGCAAAACTACAGTCAAATGCCTTATTTAAAAGTCTTCTTATTCCAAGTCAAAACACTGTGCACACGAGAGCCCATTCTCAGTGTCCTTGGGCACTTCCACATCAATACCAGAAGCGATCTTCTCTCTGTTGGCAAAGCAGCTGGGCAAAAACACAGAGGAACTCCTCTGCTACACATTACGTTTCTCTCACTAAGGAATGGTGGGGACTACAGAAAGGCAGCAGCTACGACCAACATTATGGATTGGGCTCCAACTTACTCCCTGAGCTCTCTCTCATCCCCCTCGTCTCCAGGATTTTCTAGGATCACTCCCCACCTGCAAGAATAGCATCTTAGCCCCCAGCCCCACCACTACAAAAGAATGAGAAAACCCAAAGACCAGTTTGTACACCTAAGAGAAACCTCAGCTCTATCACGGCCCCTCCTTGCCCGCCGCCCGGCCTTTCCACACATCCCACTTGCATTGGGGGCTGCTAGCCTTCCCAGCACAGAACCAAGATCACTAAGATGCTTCAGTGGTCAGCGGCAGTCGTCACAAAGATATTCAGCTCGACCATGAATACTGTATTGGCAGCAACGCTCCTGCAATCTCCAGAAGATGGTCCACCTTCCTGGTCTCACAACCTCCTACAACTCCACGTGCACTCAGAAAGACAAAAAAATTACACAAGTTCTTTTGTTTTGTTTTTTTGTAAAGGCTTCACATTTTGCTGCATATCAGCACTGTCTCAGCATATTGCACAATGCTTGCTTTATTATAAAAAATGTCTTCTGTATCAGGCAGGAAGAAAGAAAGTTTTCTCAGGAGGCTAATGCGTACTATTGTCTGTAATTAGAGGTAAGTGGTTGCTTGTGTGGCCATCAGGAAGTGGGACCTAGTCAAACAAAAACAAAGTGTTATTAATGGCTTGTCCAGAAACAGAATCTCCCCTCCCTGCCCCAAAACGTGTTGCTCTATTCTTGGGCATTTCTTGTATGCCTTTTGGCTGATCTCCCCCCACAAAAATTATACAAATCTGCTTGCCTTCCCTCCTCTCCCCCCACTCACATAACCTTGCCAGGTGGCAAACTGCAACCAAAGTTGAAAGAAAGGCAGAAGTCTTAAAGGCTATCTACAGGCTTAAATGGGAAAAATAAAAGTAAAATAAAATCAAGCAGTTGCTAGAGGAGCAATCCTATTGATGCCCAATGAAGGGAGAGGTAAAGCCTGCTCAGTTCTTTCACACTGCTTGGCAGCAGCCTGCAGGCTAATCAGTAGCAACACTGAACCCCAGCAGCACACAGTGCTGCTGCTTCAGTCAGCAGGCCAAGCAGAGGAAGAGTGAGACAACTGATGATGCCTGGGAAAACATGTAATTTTTGTAGCAATGTGAAAATAAAAGAAAAATGGTAAGGACAATGGAGGGAAGCTAGCAGAGGAATCTCTGAGAGACTCAGTTTCATTAATCTGGCTTCTTACAAAACACATGGCTTCCTTAGGTGTTAGATTTTCCAAATATTTCTAAAAGCTGTTGAATCTCTGCTCGTATGTATGTCAAGGAGAGGGTTTATTGCAAGCATCTTAAACTCTTCTGGGACCAAGTCCCAGAGCTGTTCTTATCATCCATCCTCAGGTAGCTGTACCACTTATTAAATAATTAAGGGAAAGTTTTTCTTACTGATGTAGATTTGTAAGAGCGCAGTCTGAAACGGCAAAAAATAACTTCTGCTACAAATCTGCCAAAGCCATGTAAAATTCCTGAAATGTCAAACAAGACTTGAATTGTCACAAGTAGTAACACTGTAGTATTTACATAAGTATTATAACAAAACTCTACACAATACTTAAACAGGATATGGTACCGTAAACCACTGAGAAATTAACATAAAAAAAGAACACCAACAGCAGGGGGGAATTCTGACATTCTGAAATGCATCAATAAAAGCAAAACCAAAGCTATCCAAGCAAATGTAATTCCCTCTGCTCAGCTTTCATGAGTGAAAATACATTCTGTAGGACAGAAATATCTGCTTTGAAAGAAAGCTCTTAGTTCAAAGTCTCTTTACTATGCTCTCTTCAAGTGAAAGCCAACAAAAGAAGTAACTTGTAATCAAGATACCCTACTATGTCTTGACTAGTAAGTGAATTGTGTCTTTTCAACTGAGATTATTTTCTTTGAAGGAGCAAATCTTGCAGTACATTGACAAGTTACACAAGAAAAATCCTCCCAATTATTTCAGATGGAAATTTTTTCTCAACTTTTGGCACTGATTTAACACTAGATCCCAACTATAGGAAATACACAAATATCAGAAGCCACTCTGTGTGTGTGTGTGTGTGTGTATATATATATGCATATATATATATATATATATTTCTATCTCTTTGCTCTTCTAGAAGTAAATAAAGTATGCTATAGTTACCAAAAAGAAAACAACAGGCCCTCAGAGCACCAGAAACAGCATACTGGGGCACCAAAAACGAGTAGCTTTCGTTGCACGGTTCAGTGCACACAAACGGGCACTTTGTCTTAAACCTGACAGAGGTTCAGGACTCCCCTGTAATTTATCTGTAAGATAATCACCATGACAAAAAAAAAAAAAATTCTGGTAGAACTTAAGAGGGAAAGCACTGATTGTTACCTGTAGTTGAAAAAATTCCTCCAATAATGCCACAGAGCCTCACTAAGAACTGCCAAAAAGGCATGTGTTCTTCTGTCACCGTCACCATAAGTGAACTGATGTCATATTTCATGAATATTCCTGACACCCCATGGCTGCCAGCTGCATGGTTAATTACTCTTTCCTGAAAGAGGAGAGAAGCACACGAGTTAGTCACTTCTTATTAGTCACAAGGAAAACAATCTTAATAAATGTGACGACAAAGAGCTACTTAATCAAAGTTAGAAATCAACAGAGGACCAGGGAATATCATTATAATTTTGGCCAGTACCTTCTAAAAGTCAAACATCATTAAATAACAATTTGCTTCCCTGGTCACTGGTCTTCTTTGCTGCATATCAATGTTCACTATCAGGCTCTGGTACCGTCCTCTCAAGATTTGCTGATGTGGTCCTTTAAATAGGGATGTTTATAACTAGGTTAGTTTTGGTACCTATGAGGTTAAGCACCACAGTCTTGCTCTGGCCTGTGAACTCAAGTGAGTGCACTGGTATAATACAGCGCCCCAACTCTTCCTACTTTATGTGCTATTATTAATCATTTAAATCAGGAAGAGACCTTCAGGAGACATTTAAGTTGTTGAACAACCTTAGCTATGGCAGTTTTCCCAGAGGGTGTATGTAAATCTACATACTGCATCTAAGAATCATTAGGCTCCATCCTCCTCCTTCCTTGGATCATATCTCCAGATTCACATGCCACAAAGGATTTAATTGTTGGTTCTCAAAAATACCAGGGAAGACCCTAAACTAGAGTACACCACAATGGAAATTCAGAAGCTTAAGTTAAATTAGACCAATGCTATTTTTTTCCCCCCTCAGTGCATACTCAGACATATGTCATAATCTATTACTTTGATGGGAAAATGAAATAAAAAGGTAAAAGATCAAAATTTCAAAGCTTCTGGGGTCTGAAAACTAAATAACAGTATCAAGCCTTTTTTCAAAGTTTTTGTCAGTCAGGACATTTCACACAATAGTCACACAGCAAGAAATACACCTTGATCAAAATAACTAGCTCACCATGACTACTCTAAACACATCAGATGCTTTAGTCCTAATACAAGAACTTCTACAGTTTCTTCTAATTTGCCCAAATTCTTAAACCAAAAAATCCCAAAGAGAAGAGTGCAGCTGCTCTAAATCTCTACTTTTTAAAAAGGGTTTCAGGAGAAAAAAAAAAACACAACACAGTCTTAAGTTTCTTTCAAAAGTTTGCTATTGTTTTATTGTTAGTGAAAGGTGTTGATAAATGCACTGCCAGGTAAGTCTGGCTGAAAATATACAAGGACAGCAGAAAAGAACATAACTGACTGAAGACAAACTCAGTCATGTCTAAGCTAATAAGAGTAGAGAAGACAGACAAGTGAGACTGAACACAAAAGCAATACATCACAGCTCCATTTCATCTGTCGATTTAACACTCTGTGCTCAGAAAAACCATGCAGAATACAGTACTACAAAAGCAGAATACCACTTTGGAAAATACAGACTGGGCAACTTCTCCCGTCAGCTAACACTGACATAAACCACATTGCTTCTTTTGCTACCAAACTGAAACAACAAGGATGCCAAAATGATGTATCAGTTATGATACCAGGTCACAGAAACTTTGCAACAATTAAAAAACAAACAAACAAAACAAACAAACAAACAAAAAAAAAACAAAACAGAACGCTTTTTATATTTCAAGAGCATTACAATATTCAGCATTAGAGGATGGATGATCAGACATAAGAAGAAGACTGAAACAGAATCTTGCCATTGGCAAAGGACAAAAAAAAATATTTGTTTTCCCTCTATTGTTTCCCTAAGCCTTATTGGTCTTTTTGAGGTCAAACGGTGAAAAAAGAATATGAAGTTAAACAGAACACCCAAAATTCCACCCTCAATAGATACATAATTCTTTTTCCACAAACCGTTTTGGTCTGCTTCTAGCTTCTACTGCTGCAGAAGATTTAACGGTTGGTTGCTAAAACCTGCTGAAAATAACTAGCCCTGCATCAGGTACCTCAGATATCAGTGAAGCCTTGTGAGAATTAAATCTTTTTAACACAGATAAACACAGTGCCTCAAACATCAACAATAGTGGAGATTAATCTGCCCACACCTTTCAAACTCTGCTTCCCAGCCTGTTCACCACTGGCAATTAAACCCTACTGTATTCAGGTTTTAGCCATGGCTAGCTGACCACCTTTATCCCGGCCTGTGTATATGCCTACTCCTATAAAATAAATGCACTACGTTTTTCAGTGTTAACTGTTCTTGATAGCCTACCCCAGCTCATTTGCTAGGGGTATTTGGTTTCCAAAGATAAACACGAACAAGCTTTACAGGCAACAGAGCTACCTACTGAGACAACGAGCAAGCAAATATGTTGCCTCCCCTAATCACAAGCTTTTCTCCTAAACAACCCATGACTGTGTTGCAAAAAGAGCTGACTGCACGGTTAATTGACAGAAACCATCTTTACAGCAGGAGAGAAGCCTTTAATAAAAAATACAATGAGTAAGATAAGCAGTTGACTGATGTCCAGAAGTTAAGGAGTACCTTTGCTGCTGCAGAGGTGGTGCAAAGAAAACATGAAGCAGATTGCTAGACCAGCAGGATATGGGAGTATATTGCACTATGAAATTCCTCTTCATTCCTGCCTTTACTCCAGCTTTCATGAGTTTCAGAGCAAACATTTCCCTTCAGCTGTCTGCATGTCCCAAGTTGAACCCCAAGACATTACCTCTATCCTACTTCCCCAGCTATTTATTTTTCAGAAGCACAGCATGGAATTGTAAGGAAATAAAGGTTCTTCTCCCTTGGAGAACACCACAAACTATATTACAGCAAACTGTCATCCTAGTTTCTGAATTTCCTTTCAGCCCAAGGCTTCCTTTTTACCTCTTGCTTTATCTGTCGTTTTTAACTAAACTTTTTGTAAAGGTTTTTTTTCTTTCACTTTTGAATAAAAGATCAAAACAGAGTTCAGACATGCAGCTGCTACACATAAGTCATTTTTCTTACTTACAGCAGTCTTTAAACTTAGTACATTATGATGTGCCCACGTACTATGTGGCAATAACTACCTTCTTTATGGATTCAGAATTAAAAGCCTCTCTAAACCCAGAAGTGGAAGCTCTCCAGTCTGGAGAACAATTAAAGTTGGTGGTTAAACAAGACAGCTGAGGGACAGAGATGCTTTCTGTGTGATTAGTTTTTCATACAAACTAACTTTGTTTCCATTTCTAACACTCTACAACCAAGTTCATGACATTCAAGTGAGATGCATTTTTTGGCTTGCTTCCTGCATGGATAAAAAGATAAAGGTGGATCAAATATTTGTAAAGCTACACACAAGGTTACAGATGTAATACTTACAGGATTTCACCACCATTATTAGCATCCAATGACATGGAAATGACTGGATATTAATCATTAATTCTAGCATCAGAGTCCAGTTCAACACATGCAAGAAGTTAGCATGAGTCATCCAGCATATAATGCAATACTGATGGTAAAATATATTTACAGACAATCTAGTGCACTGGAACATTCTACAAAGTCTCTTCACGCTAAAGTAGTTTTCAAAACCATGGTACAACTAAGTCTCTGTTTTCACATTTGAGCTTTTGTTAAGAACAAACATTGTTAGATTTTTCTCTGCATGGTTTTCCCTTACTTCTACTTACCCTTTCTGTCACTGAAAATTGATGAGTTTCTGCTGAAATTTTATGCGTATGGAGTTTGGTTGGCACAACTGTGATAAAATATTGGAACATCTGGTTGTCTAGAAGAAAGTAAATCTCACTGTTGAATTAAGTACAGAGTCAAAGACCATCTGAGAGATTCACAAATAAATCAAATAATATTTAAAATAGTTAATCAGCTAAGCCATTTACACTAGGGACATTCTTCAAGGAGTCCCAGCACCACCAAGACTACTTCAGCACCATCTGCGTTAACAAAGCTGGTTTACATGGGCAACGCCTGTCACATTTGTACTCAGAGAAATTTGCATATTATCCACGTAATGAAAAGATTCATTAAGGTCAGGCCACTCAGAGGTTTGAATTAAATGCATAGATAATGTTTTCCAGGACACTAGAACTGAACAAGTTTCACACAGTCACATTTTGCATGATACATACATTTTGACAGTGGTTTGAATAGATATTAGTCACTGAATTTTCTGTACGATGCTGGAAGCCCTTCTGAACTGGTTACGGTTTTTCTCTTGATTAGACAGACTTCTAGAGAATTCTTCTAGAGTAATCAGCATGCTTATGCATTTGTGATTGCTCTGTCTTCATGCAATTCCCTAAGAGAACTAACACTGATAGACTGAAGCAATTTGTTTTAACTACACAAAACCATTCTGGCTGGAAGAGCCAACAGACTGACTAACTTTGAGACAAAAGCAGCTTTAGGAGGTTCTGGGGATCACTCTCACTAGGAATGTGGGTAGGGGGGATGAGGCACATATAGTTCTGTAAAGTAGGTTACTATACTCCTTTATTTATACACAAGGAAACAACACGATACACAAACCCTTCCTGTAGTAGCCTCACAAAATACACCGTGGAAGTGACAAACCAAATACAGAAATAGAATCCAAGGCTCCTGATGCTATTTTTTTTTTTTTTATACCAAATCAGACTTCATTTTCCCTGTTAAAACAACAATCAGATCTATCAATCTCCACTGTAACATATTGCTGAATAATTCTTTGCAATATGTTCAGACATACTGTCCCTTCAACATAACACAAATCTGGAATAAACTGCAAATCAACTTCAGCAAAACAGCAAAGTACAACGATACTGATCCTAAAAAGAAATTGTTGGTTTAAGATGCCATGTAGATAACTGAACAGTGCATTGCTTGGTAACAAATTTAGCAGGATGTGTTGTTTGTAAATCACAACACCCATGAAACATGATAATATCTTAAATGTAATTGTTGGAAAAAATATAGAAAATAAGACATTTTCTTTAAACACAAACCACTTACGATCTGATGCTATTTTTTCTGTTCCATCCAAAGGATTAATAATTCCTGGAATAAGTTCTCCAAATGACAAATGATCTATTCTATGAGAGAAGTTATACGCTGAAAGACAGTACAAAGGAATGAAACAACATTTTTAAACTATCAGATTCTATAATCTTCTCAGAGAGAAAAAAAGGCACCCATTTCTCACACTGGAAAACACATCAGTTAGAATGTTTCAAACACTGGTGTGAATTTCATTGGCTTTGTGCCTGTGACTATATCAATACATCTACACATATGTTTCAAACAAAGCTAAAATCAAAAATATTTAACAAAGAAGTTTGATTTCTCTAGAAAAGAACTTCTAAAACAAATTATAACTCTATCTGAATCAACCCTGGAGCTGAATAGAGTTAAAATTTCATGACAGGAAATTTCTAGTTGGCCAAATACTGAAGTTATTCTACAGTTCAGGTTCCTGTATGTAATGGTATTAAAAAGACTAAAATTTCATAAATTAAATGTACAGAGGAAGCATAAGGCAACTACTACCAAGTTACTACATTGACTGGTTTTGCAAAGGTATTTAAATTCTACAGTATTATACACTTCTGTTTACATAAATTCATAGGCAGACATCTGGAGGTTTAACCAACACCAAGTTCGTTTGTCACAGTAAGTCAACCTTGCCTCACATGAAGTACAGCAGCAACATGCATTTAGTATCTAGATTCATAAGCTAAAAATTAAGTTTAGAAGAACAAAGGTCAGAAAATTTTAACCTGATAAAAACAGATTTTGCAGGAAATAAGTAGCTTAGACTAAAATACAGGAATTTCATATGGTGTCTGTGTTACAACAAAATACATCTGAGATTCCTGTGTTATCATTACTGTAGAAGCAACCTAAAGATAATATTAATAGTGTTAAATGTATGAAAGGAAGTCAGTACTGAGCCATAACATTGCAAAAAATATTCTTCACTTTCTTCTATAATGCAATTACCCAGCTAGAACATCTTTACAACAGCAACCTATGTTAACATATGAATTAGGAGACAGCAGTCTCAACAAAATGATACCCATTCGTATAGAAATGATAGAACTTACACTCGTGGCTTACAAGGGCTGCCAAGTGTGCATGGCCTCGAGGATGTGGTATTGCCCTAAAGAAAGCAAGACATGTTTTATGAAAAATTTGTTTAATGAATCCACACAAAAGACAGTTTTCCTAAACAGGACTATGTAGAAAAATTACCTCTCCTACTCAATTTCACTTAATACTTTATATATATATATAAAATAGGTGCATACATATGTTTAAATATAATTATATATATTACAAATTTATATATATAAATTGTGTGTATCTATATTTAAAAAGTATTGCATTTTTACTACTGACAAGTGCAGACACCCTGAATGACAAGGTACAGGAACATTAGACTCATAAAAACCCTCTTACACAAAATGAGTGCCTTGCATCTTTAGATGTCAAAAACACATCAAGTCACTCGGCTACATGAAGAGCCACCAAGGCCTACCACATGAAAAGCTGCAGAACTGCTCAAGTGACTAATGAAAACTTTACCATACTTGTATTATGACTAAGCAAGTTAATTACATTCTGTATTTGCTCCCTGACTAAGCACGTTAACTTCAGATCTGGACATTTGTTTGTAGACCTGCAAATAAAGTACAGTGCAGACCGTGGTGACAGTGCAAAGAAGCGGGGGGAAAAACATGCAACTGTCTGGAAAGTAACAGTCTCTCAGCCACACTTCATCCCTACTACTCCAGCCAACAATGCAAGAAACCTTCCCTACTTAGCTTAAGTTAAATCATTACCAAATGCATGTAAGTTTTGGACAAACAGAAGGTGCAGGAAGACAATGAGATCAGTCAAGATAGGACTACAATAAATGACCACGCAATAAGGTACAAATGCGGATAGTGAAAATGGCTGTAAAAAAAAAAAAAAGAAAAACATCTGTAAGAAGAGAAGGAGGAGCTTCACATAAGTACAAATGTAACGATGAGCAAAAGGAAGCAAAGCAAAAGATTACTCAGGGTTGCAGAACTGGAGACAGGAAGAGAGAAGTGATGGCAGTAGAGGTGAAAGGCTGAAATGATCAGCTCTGAAAAGGGCTTAAGAAGTTGGATAGCTAGGGGCAAATCACAGAGGAGGTACAAGACTAGACAGAAGTGATATTTGGAGAAATATCCACACAAAGACAGCAGCTGGAATTAGACATGGATGAATTAAAGAATACAAATAGCATGCCAAGATTTCTGGTGTCAGAGGTGGCAGGAAGGTAGGTGAGGACAGCAGAGCTGGAGAGCACAGAGAAAAGTTAGCAGAAATTTGTATGCAGTGTATATAAGCTAATACCATTGCAGAAGCATATCAGAAAGTCTCTCCTCAAATCAAGATGAATCGGCATTTAGCTCCCTAAATGTGGTTCTGTAATTCCATTATCTCAGCAATGAAATGGCACTTAGCTACATTTCATCCATGTCAGTGAACTATGTACTATCAGAAAGGAGAAGTTTGGACAGGCCCAAAGAACGGAGGCAAGTACAAGCAGTCCACGTCATACACTCACAGAGAACCCGTTTTCAGAAGTTTTCATCCTGCAAGACACTTGAATTCATAACCACTGTATTGCATGCAACAAGGCACTGCACTACATTGTTTTATTAACTTAAAAAGAAATTTGGTTTTAAGTGTGCAATAAAAGGTACCACATGGAAAATAATACCAAGCATGTGTATGGGAAGGTTAATAAAAAACAGCCATTAACTCAAAAGTGTAAAAGCATAAAAGTGTACACACACATATACACACATGCACTATATATAATGTAGAAATCAATTATTTATTTTTTTTTTACTTTCAGGAATTGAACAGAACATACTTGCCCACAGTTATGTGAAAGTTCCCTGCCACTTTATTGACATAGAGATGACCGTGAATTCTGCATGCATCTGGAGACTGTAATGAATTATCTTCCCTGTTTAAACAAAAACAACAGAAAGAGCACTTTAGAATATTCACTGTCTAACAGAGTAACAGCAGTACAGTTAGATTTCTTTTTCCTAAGATATAGTATTATGATATACCCTTCCCAATCATACTCTTCTAGAATTATAGCAGGGATGGTGGGAAGGAGGGAAACTAATAAAGATCAGTCTGATGAAGCCAATGAGCTTTCATTCATGCTTGTATTCAAAGATCTGGTCTACAAGGCTAACTTACAACATCCGAACATGTGAACGTAAGACCATAAGTATATCTTGCTGCTCTGAGGACTTTTTTTTTTTCAATTACTTCTACCAAAAATGGTTTATTGGTAAAGTTCTAATGCTACAATGAATAGAACAAAATACATTAGTCACATTAACAACACTGTAGCAAGAACAGCTTTCAACATTTATTTTTTTATGAAACCTTTCTCTTCCCACACTTACTGGGATGTCCACAATTCAGAACATATTTCCAAATCTACTCCTTAGAGGAAGATAAAAAAAAAAAAAACAAAACACACAAACATTTTTTTAAACACATCTCAAGCACAAATACCAGCTCAAGCACTGTATTAACAAGTATCATTAAGGTACAGAAGGACTTAATGAGAGAAAAGATTTTTTGAGCCCTCTTCCACCTTGCCTTAGAAAGAAAGGATGTATTTGGTCCTCACAGGGAGGTTACAACATGGAAGGTGCATACAGCATTTCTGGTGTTTGTTTTGTTTTATTTATGGTTTGCTTGTTTGGGGTTGGTTTGTTTGTAAGGGGAAAAGTATTTCAGCTTTCATGGAGAAAGTGTTTTCCCCTGGGAAAAATTAAATAAAATCACTTAACATCTAGATTCAGGCAGAACAAGCCTTTTATGCATGAGCCTCTCAGCATTTTGTGCGTAGTTGGAATAAAGTGAAAACAGCAAGGTTTCTCCACACAATTTTAACAGTGCTATCTTCAACCAAGGCATTTACTAACAAAACACATTTTTATTCAAAGGTTGATTCTTTTAAAACCATAAAGTGACAGCTAATAGCAGGACCATTTTTAAAGGCTGCTGGAAGATACACTTTAAATTTTTTTTTTTTAAAAAGACTCATTTAATATTGCTTTGGCATTCCTAATGCACATTAAAAAGGAAGCATCAGATAAAATGGACTAAAAGGTGTGTGTGTATATTTATGTGTGTGCTTGTATTATGTATACATACATATGTACAAATACACACACAAAACCTGGAAACCTTCTCCATATTGGAAAATCCAGAGGTTTTCATAAAACAACAGCTCTCCAAAGCAAGTATCAAGTGTACTATTTTAAAATCCATTAAAAAGCAGTAAGGTTTTCCTTTCCTACCACCTTATCCTCTGAAAAAAAAAAAAAAAAAAAAAATCACAACAACAATAAAATGTGAAGTCTAATTAAACAGGGCAGAGGGAATGGGGAACGATGACACAAAATCCCAATTTTTCTTACCGTGGTGGCAGTGCTGTAGAAGCACTTTTAAAAGCACTTTTGAATATCACATCTTGAAGAGAGTGCTCTTCCTGCAGCCTACTCTGAATTAGCTGCAGCATCCTAAAGATTACACAGACAAGTATGAAAGCATAGAACAGTAGAACTAAAAATAACTTCACAATTAATGATTTATAACATGCAACTGAAGCTAATAAAGTGTTACATTAAACTTTGAGAATAATATTTTACACAGAGCTTAAAGCTCTGGTGTTCACAGTAGTGTGTTACCAAAATACTGAACTAGCCAGACTCCCAAATAAGCTTCAGGTTCTATTACAAGACTATCAGTATAGCCATCACACACTTAACCAAGCTATTCCAGTTTAAATGATAAACAGTGTGTCAATTCAGTTATATGAAACACTCAAACGCATTTGCTTTCGCAAGAGCATGACAATTTGTTACTATGGTTCAGCTTTGACATTTAGATATCAAGCTATCTGTGTTACACATTTGAACCCATAATTAAAACTTCTGTTTCCAAATGAATGCTTGGTAGCACAAGTTAAGTGAGTCTATACATCTTGGCTTGAAACTGCATGACCCAATTCCACAGATAAGTCCAAAGCCAATTTTTTCCATAACACAGATCTCAAAAATGAGAAAAGCAAAGTAATTTAATATCTTTTCACAGGTTTGAACTCTCAAATTACAAGCGGGAGCTGTTAGACTCAAGATATACTTCTGTCATGTGACTCTGGTGTACCTCAAAGTCACTTCCAGTACAAATAATACAAATCACAGGCATACATCTCAGTGCTTTACCTTTGCCATTCTTTTTGTTGTGGGCTGAGATCAAATACTACCTGAAACAAAAATAACATATCTAATAAAGCACACAGCAAGCATTGAAGTCCCATCCATGAAACCTAGAAGAGAACTGGGGTGTAAGAAGCGGTGGGGAGTTATAATCAACTTCACATTTGGTACCGCATACTGGAGTTCACGAAAGCACTTTGCACTTTAAATACATACTTAGTGTTCAAGTATGGAATTTCTGTCCCTTCCCCCACAGAATTGTTCGCTGGTTTGAATTTATAACTTCAACATCTTTTCCTAAAACTCCTGTCAGCAGTCTCTGCCCTTCTAGCCTTTGACTAACATGGGCTAGAAGAAGCAGTGAGTGGCAATTTAATTCTAAGTGATATAACTGACATGCATGGCTTCAATGCGAACAGCAATGGAACAAGCAGAGGAGCAAGCTTTGAAGGACCAGGGTCCAGGTGCGGATTTAATTCAAGGGTCATCCCACATGGAGCACTTCTTTAAGACAAGCTACCAGACCTGCTGTACTTCAATCGGCACAAGAGTATCACCAGTAACATCTGTGCACCGAATTCAAATCTAAGTATCAGTTAACAATAAATTAAATTGCAATTAATGCCCAGAGCTATGGCTAAAAGAGATCAAGTACAAGAAGTTTCCTTTTTCTAAGACTATAATCACTGGGACAACTGCTAGCATGCAGCAGCTGCAGCACCACAGAGATAACTGTCCAGACAAAAAGAGGAAATGTTACAAGAACAAATAAAGAAAACCAAGCTCCTTCCCCTTCCTAAAAGCATGTCTTTCCATTCAGTCATCTCCTCCTGCTCACACACACAAGTAAGAATTTGGACGAAGCTGTTATAATTTGGAATATGGTTCAGTTATCAGAGAATGTAATAACTGCGCTCTCTAATAGGTTTTCTGTAAACGATAAATTGCTTTCATACTGTATAATTACTTCCAAGTTTGTTGTATTATACAAGCAAAACCACTCTAAGAGCATAAGCTTACACAGTTCCAGAGCCTTCAGTTCACAATACAGAAATCAAGAGGCTACTAACCCAATTTATAATCCTTAATGCCACTGCATGTTATAAGAATATCATGGTGATTTTCTACCCCCTTTTAGAATCATAGTAGTCTTCTAGTTAAAAAGCAGTTACATCAATTCTCTTTTTACGAGAGCTCTGATAGTTTTCTTTCCATATCAAATACTGTTAAGCATTGATCCCTAGAATTTGCACACGTCAAAATAAATAGCTGCAGAAATCACTAACTTCTTAAGAAACAGTGATCTGGAGAGTACTGTATTCAAATCCGCTTATTTGCAGAGAGTGAACATGCAGAAATACCAATGCTAGCCTATTTCACTAGCAAATTCCTGGGGTAAGCACTGCAGACCTCACTCAAGGATCAGACAATACTTGGGGAAGTTCTGTGCAGCCCAACTGTGGGGGAAAAAAAAAAACACGTGCAAGCAAACCAGCCCAGCAGTGCTCTGCACCAAGTAAAGAGCAATTTCCTTTTTAAATAAAAAGGTAAGAATCAACTTACTGGTTCATAGATTAGCCCATCTGCAGAGGCGACCATTGTTTCTGCTAAATCCAGAACATCAGCCCCCACATCTATTTTAGACAGAGAGAAAAGTATTGTCATACAGATGATCAGAAACAAACAAAAAAGTTCAAGCTGAAATGAAGTTTCACAGTACAGTGGTAAAATTTCAGTATAAGTTACTGTTCCTTCAACATGAACTGATGCACAGTGATCAAAAACAAACTCTTCAGATTTGTAGCATTTTCTCACTGATATAACACCTACAAAAATGTTGTATGAGCCACACATACAAGCTTTCTAGGATCTGTTATGCATAAATATTTTTTCCTGTTTCATAAGCACTGAATACAAACCAAGACTAGTCAAAACAGAGGACAATGTTTTGTTTATTTCTCAATTTAAAATAAAATAAAAATACACTGATGTACCATACAAGATGCAAATGCAACATTTAACCTAGCCAAAAAAGTGAGTAATGAAAATTTGCTTGCATTCCTGGTAGAAGTAGTATTCTCCCTCTTTCTCAATACAGGACAACCAAAACTAGTCCATACAAATAATGGTTCATCACCTACATGACATCAAAATAATAGTAAGCCTTGCCTTTAAATGGGAAGGCATCCATATGTTCATGAAGAGGATGAAATTACCTGATGGTTCCAGTATTGTTCAACAGTAGACGAGGCTAATATTTGCCAAGTTCATAAATAAATAAAAGGTGTGATAAATTCCCGCTGCTGAGCTGTGTCTCACAATGAGCTTTTAGAATATTCCAGCTAGAGAGAGACTGGAACAACAGATACTTTTCTTGCTGACAAAGCAAAGTTCTGCAAGTTGCGAATGAGATGGCACAAATACTTTTCTTCACATCTACCAATTCTTTCACAGTCATGTGCCATCAAGATCACTACATGCCATCAAAATCAAAAGAAATCTCACTGTTACATATTTTGAACAATATCCAAACTATATTGCAAGCAAACGCATACTCTGAAGAGCCTTTAAAGTGTTTCAAAACTTTCGCTGATGAATACTTACATTGACACCTCATGGCAACTGTAATATCAATATTGATTCTTAACTTACTGGAAAAAAAAAAAAAAAAAGCTAGTAAGTAACATTGAGTACAAGTATCAAGAGATATATCACTAAAATTCTCAGATTACTTGTTGACAAAAAAACAAAATTTATTTAACCAATAAATAGAAACTTAAGATGTTTAAAATTTGGGTAAACCAAGATGGGCTTTTAATTAAAGCACCGATGACCAGTTGTAACGCAAGAGATAAAAGCATCATATTTCCCTGTTGAATTTTACTATGAAACTCCTAACGGATCCTTTGGAAATATTACTGGCTCCAGAGTTTGTCAGACTCTTATTAAGAACATAGAGTTTTCAATATTTTACACTTTTTTTTTTTTTTTCACACAACTACAACAGTGCAATAAATTCCCCAGAATGCAGTGGATTAGGACAATGTAAAAGTCACAAACGTGAAACTGAGTAAATATTTGAGCACTTTCCTCCTGTTCTGTCCTTAAAACAGGCCATTGTATTTCCAATCCTAATCAGAATTCCTCAGGACAGTGACATTCAGGATCAGGCTGAGAGGTTGCTAAAGCCAGTTCCCAGAAAATGCTGCCATGTCAAACATCACTGGTTTTGCTAGCACTGCTTCTGGAAAAAGCTCTTTTCTCAAAAATGCTCCCATATTATAATAGCAAAATGCCTTTTATGTCAAGATCTTTATCCTGAACATTACTATAATGAGGGGAGGTAAAACATACTTCTTCCCATCAGGGGGAGAAAAAAACAAAAAACAAAACCAAGCAAAACCAACACCCCAAAAAGCCCCATCACACCAGCAGTCTGATTGTACTGCATTCCCCAATATACTGGGTATTTCCAATTGGTTTTCATGTTAGTTTCACAAAAGTCATTTAAACTACAATGAAAAAAATCCCTTCACTAGAGTCATACGGTAATATAGATTTATTCACACAGTGAATAAATCCCATCACCATAGATAGGACTAGATGTCCTATCACCTCCAGGGAGCTGCTTCTGGGAACTTAGCTGATCACAAACAAATCACGTAACCAAAGGATTCAACACTGGCTCAACTTGGGATCAGACACGGTCAGTAGCCAGGAGCAAAGCAGTTAAAGGTGATACCAACCTCCATTGGTTTAAATTGTCAAGAACCACAGGCTGAGTGATTAGCCCACAATCGCACTGGAAAATCTGCAGCAGGACATCTCTCAAGTTCCATAACAGTCTCTTAACCACTAGACTACCCTTTCCATGTGATAGCTTCACTAGAGAAATAAGCCACTTTAGCAAAGACCTATATGTGAAACTCCCATCTGTCTGAATGGATTTACTCTAACCTGAGTTTTTGATGCATCTCCCACAAATTTCTCATATTTTTTATTTTCTCATTACAGAAACCTTTGGTATTTCTGACAGACAAGACATCCAATTAATAGACGTATCTTTATCTTGTTACCACGGCAACTAAACAGCTTTTAAAGTTATTTCAGTTCCAGACGCACGATATTTAAAGGTGTTCAGTGCACAAAATCTCCATTAACTTCCCATGGACTCATGGGTGCCTGCCCACCTCAGGAAGAAAGGCAAACACAGTCCAGGCAAGCACATGACACCAACAGCAAATGTATTTTCAGCCAATCCTGAGGGGCTGTATGTAACTGGAGACAAGATCAGCAGCAACCTCTAGATAACACAGTCAGAGTTCTGAGTGCTTAAGGTTCACCTCCAGCAGCACAAAGCATAATGGCAATTTACTAACTGTATAAACTAGAGTAAGCATCATGCAAATGTGGTGGGTTTACATAGCTGATGTGGAGTTACATATTACAATGTCCTCTCAATTGCTAGCAAATAATTCCTCATGGGAATTTTTCACCACCAAACCTACACTGTTTTGACGAATTCATTGAAGAAATCTCAATTTCTCTTCTTCATAGATTCCAGAAAATCAAGAAAATTCCAAGAAAAATCAAGTCCCTTTAGTATTTCACTTTTAATTTCAATCATGAACTGCTTGCAAGTCACACAAACACTTTAGACCTATTCTTTCCTGAAATGCAGACAACTCAAGTTTTAAAAGAAATTATAATGAACAAAAATTACCTAGTAAAATCCTTGTCTACTTCATATTCATATTTCATCCATGTGTCCCGGTACACCATGAACTCCATTACAGTCAGGAAAGCTATTGTCGTAAATGCTATCAGAGAAACTGAATGATCAAAAGAAAAAAATAGAAGTTTAGATTGTGAAAAATATCACTCAAACACAAGCAGAACAAAATTCTAATAATCCAGAATCTGAGAATTACCAGCACAATACTGGTATCTTTGATTTATAAATCCATAAGCTGTTCTTAGAAAAATGTTTTAATATCTACAGTATTTGCTTTTACATAGGAGGGGGAAAGAACAAGTCCTACCTTTGCATTAAGAAACAACTTTTTGCATTAAGTACAGTCAAATACTAGAATGATGGGGAGGTTGTGAAATCCTCGCATGGAAAATTTAAGAAGAGGCTAGATCCTCCTCCACATATAAAGCAAAGTGCCCACAAATCACTGTCAGGGATGGTCTAGGCAAACTCAATCCTAAATTCAAGCATGAAAGAAGAAGGTGAACCTTGAAGTCCCTTCAAGCCTCCACTTGTAGACAGTGTAAGATTTTATAACTTTTTTTTTAATATCTAGTTTTAGAGCCAAGAAGCTAGCAGATAAGAGAAATAATATGCATTATATGCACTGTCCAGTTAGAATGAAGTGCCCTGATCATATTACTTGTGTATAGCAGCACAATCAGGACTCCCACCCCTGTATTTCAAACGATTCTCCCTCTGGCAATAAGCAGCACGTAGCTATCCATCCTACCAACAGCTGCACAAGTGAAGAACCGATCTGAAATTATTTTTAGGTGCAAAACTAATTGGTGTATTTTAACGGTGTATGTGCCTCACTTCTCTCCAAAGCAGCTTATTCACCACACTTGCAAAGTTGTACAAGGCAAAGGGAAGATCATCCTGCTGCAGAGTCAGAAACACAGTAACAAATGCACAGAAGCACCTGCTACACCCCTTTTATTAAATCATGGTTTTTGTTAAGTTGAAAAAAACTTCAGTTATGGAGCACAGTAGTGGTTTGTACAGTTTATTGCCAGTACATGCTTTCCACTTGCATTCTGTGGAGTATTACTATGGAGTCTGTGAAGGGCAACGGGAGAAAAAAAACAAGCCTGTCGTTGATAGGCTTCAACTTACTACACTGTGGTCTACAGCCCAGAGGTGGCAGCAGGGGAATAAAGGCACTGTCCTATGTGATCAGAAAAGAAACCACTGGCTGCAGCATTGGGTGTTGCATTGATCAGCAACCTGACAAGTTCTAGCTTTCAGCTGAAGCTATGTAACGATCATACAGATACGAAAACTTTCATGTCAAGGCATACAGTGAAAGCAGATGCACTGATCAGTTAATTATTTTGGCTATCAATTTCCTTTTGAAGCCCCGTAGGCCAGACTAACCCCAGCTATGCAACAGGAAAGCTGGAGCCATACTGTCTATCCACTGCCACAAAGAAACAGTTAGAGTTGTAGCTGCTTTCTGGTTAATTCTGAGCAAACGTATTTGTGGATCTGAACAGGAAAATAAAGTTCTGTAGAATTTCAAAAGACAGATCCTCTTTTCTGAAGGCTCTCCCAGCCCCAGATCTAGAGTCTCAGACTGTTTCAGAGATGAGGATTTTTTTTGCAATGGGACTGAAGGCACTGGGAGTCTGAGAGGCTTAATATGTTTTGCATCCCTATCACGCCAAAAAGTAAGCCTGGCACTTTGATCCTGAATGAAATGGGAATACTATATTCATATTTTATAATGGCATAAAACAAGACAATCCTATATTGTCATTTACAAGATTACTGGGATAAACCAAAGAATGTTAAAGTAACTTCTGGCACTGAGAAATCCTTAAGGCACCGTTCATCAATATGAAGTTCTCATGAAGGATGGTACCATACTACAAAAAAAGGAATTTTTAAGCATTTCTTGTTTTTCTGCTAATTACAACATAAAAACAACTCACTCACTTTCTCAGGAACTGGCAGTAACATTAACAAGAGTTATTTAATCAGCTCTTAGAGATTATTTCATACAGAATAATCCTTTAATTATTAACAGTGCAATTCAGGAAACATAGCAAAGTAATACAGATCCTTCTGATATTTACTTATACACTACAAATGGTGTAAAGGCTTATCTGTAGATTGCAATTGCTTCTTGTACTTTGTATTCAACTGAGTTTCAGACATAATCACACGAGAGACATTTTTGTCCTCCTTTTTAAACTAACTGCTAGCAGTTTCTGATCTAACTGCAAACATTTCCAATTGTTCAATAGATGAAGTCACTACTTCCAGAGCAGGCTACCTCTAACCCAACTCAAAGGCACAATTTGTTGGTCAGACACATACAGAAAAGGTACTTCTTACAGCTACAGCTTTTTAAGAGAAGGTCAAGTGACTAACAAGGACAGTACAAGCACATGCCCTGGAGTAAAGTGTTTAGTTCTTCAAAGGGCTTTCATTACTCTTAAAATCAACTACACCTTCAAGACAAAAAGCTTTAGAAAGCTGCTCTTCATCCTGATGCTTAACTTAGCCAGCTCTTGCACACCTCCGGAGAATGTTTTTCCTCTTTTATGAAAGCACAGCCTTGAATCCCACCTGCATTTCAGCTCATGCTGACACAGTGTCACCCAGAAACCTAACACAGAGAAAAGAGCTTAGTGAGACAACAAATGAGAAATTTTATTACGGCCTTGGCACAGTGCACTTCCAGTTGTGATTGGTTGGAAGTTTTTACAGTGAACCTTTACATTAGTTTGTCTCACCAGTTTTACACAATAATCTCCCGTCAGATGAGTGATGAATGCATCTATTTGGATAAGATACTTTGTCTTTACTTGAAGGAGATGAGCTCTTTCAGTCCACAAAATAAACCAAGAAAGCTAAATTGGCTAGTTTCAAATTTACACAGATGCCTGTCTTCCTCTTATCAAAGTTTCTATTCCCAAAGCATGCTAGACTGAGCTAACAGCCAACATGAATCGTGTCAGCATCTCAATAAGGCCTACCTGTGCCTCCGCTCGCTGAAGTCTCCACATAGCTTTCTGGAACCTTTGGAAAGGCATCCAATTCTTTCATCAAATTCAAGGTCTTCTTCCGATTCAGTCGCCTCATCTTCAGCACACTCCTCCACCTCCTCCTTCATATATTCCCTCTGATTTGAGAATAAAATGTTGTCATTAAAAGACACAAGCAATATTACTCAAACTGACTGGCTACAATTATAAAGCAATAATAAGGCATTTAAAACTTAAGAAATATATTTTCAAGAAACACATGCTAGACAACTGGATGGTTACTCTTGCTTCAAGAAAACTGTTAAAATTGGCCTGGACACTGCTGCTTACATTCCAGCCACGCCCACCACATTCACCGTTTAATTACTATGATTAATTTCTTCCTCAGTTAAATTCTTATTGGTATTATACATATTGAATTTTAAATTAAAAAGACCAAACTCAGTCCTGAAGTAAGCTTGCTAAACAGGCCTGACAATGCATAGAAGCCACTGATTTAGCAGGGAATATCTAATAGGCTGCATAAACTCAGGAGGATGTCAAACTGCTCTGGGTTCCTATATTCAGCCAATGTGGACACATAGTTATGCTACTTTTTTTTTAAAAAAAAAGTGCATTTTGCATTTATACAGCTGTAGAATTTTACGGTCATAATAAAATCTGTGGGTTTTTTCCTCTATAAAAATGCCCCCCAAAGCAAATTAAGTATCAAATCCTAGTTCCATCCTTCACAATCCCTTTTGTGCATGACACGATCTCAGCTCTGCCTGGAGATGGTGATATGTTAAGCAGCAGGATGCTGAGTGAAGCAGCCTGCCCCGGAAATACTGTCTTAAACTGTTTCCAAATCATGGGAATATGCTCACAACCCGGTCCCGCCAATATGCTGCATGTTTTAACAAGCTGGCACTGCTGTTTTCCTTCTGAGGAAATGTTGCACTTTGCCCAGAATTTCTGAAGCTACAAAAACCATCGTGCATTTACTGTAGTCTGAGAATACGTCACATTGTTTCCTATTTAAAGACATCAAGGCAGGGAAGCTAACCCACGCTGCCAACATGTGAGACGCTCCTCACCATAGTCTTGTAGAAAAATCTGTTAACTCGACTCCCTCATTTTAAGAGCACATCAAGCTTCCAGCATGGCCTAGTGAAATTACTCAAGAGCTATTCCCTGGTGTGTTTCTCCCTGGTGCTGAGCAGGCTTTGTACTATGCAATAATAAAGGAATAGGCTTTACTGGAAATGGGAGTTCACATGTGAAGAATCACTGTCTATGGCTACAATCATTTCTTCACTACACAAATTTGCTTCAAACATCAGTGAGAAGATACAGACTCTGCATTTGGCGGGAGATTCAGTCAAGTCAGCCGGCAGGGACCAACAAAAAGATACTGTGTTGCAGAGGATTCAAATAAACTATAGTTAAAGTGAGGAGAGAAGATGGGTGATGGAACAGAAGGTCAGTTATACAGCATTGGGGGAAAAAAAAAAAAAACAAAACAAAAACAAAACAAACCACAACAAAATCAGGGAAGCAAAGTCCTGTCCTTAGTACACTACATAACTGTGTTTTAAAGAATCACCTCCACTTCACTCAGAGTAGCTTAAGAAAAAGTTGGAAAACTTAGGAGCATAGATATAGCAAAGCAGCTGCTTGGACACAATGACTGAAGCCGTAACATTTGCTAGCACAAGCACAGCACGGGGTTGCCTGCTATCCTACACAGACAGCACTGAAGTCAACTTGGCATCATTTCATTCTATCACGTGTGCAGAAGCATACCATAAAGACAGACTTAAAAAACTGGAGGACACTTTACTAAGAAAGTTTCTAAATCATCCTGTGTCTGTGGTTATGTGGATTTTTTTGTAATCTAGCTAGAAGCACTTAATTTGTTGCTTCTTTAATCCCAAATACACAGTTACATGCTGAGACACCCAGCTTCTTCCTCCCTGCCCATCTCAGCACAGGTACCTTCGAAACACAAAGTATAAAATTAGGAATCCAGTGCTAAGAGAGGAATGCATTACGAGCCCAAGAATCAACCACATTAAAAGAAAATTATCAATGTAAGCTAAAAAAAAAATGAAAAGGCATAGTGAAAGCACCACTGGCGACCAGAGCACCCACTCGAAGTGACCCACAAGCCGGACCCACCGGAGGGGCTCAGGCCGTTCTCACCCACTCGGCCAACTCGGAAGCAAAGCCGTTACGGGCGCCGGTGCCCGTCCGAACACCCACGTCCACACTCGTGCCGTGGACCCACGCCCGAATCCCCTCCCGGAGGCGTCGCGCCCAGCGCCAGCCGACCCCCGCCCGGCTGCCCACGCCGGGAGGCGGCCGCCAGCTCGGTGCCCGGACGCCCGTGAGGGCCGCGGCGCTGAGGCGGGGGCAGGCCCGCAGCCCCAGCACCGGGCAGCACCCGCGGGACGGGACGGGACGGGTCGGGACAGGCCGCGCCGGCTGCTTCGCCCTCCCCTACCTCTTGCTTCTGTCGCCGTTACCCAGCGCCGCAGGCGAGGCCGGAGAGCGGAGAAGAGCCGCGACGCGCTGCCCGACACCCGCCTCGCTAGGCATGGCCGCGCGCGGCCCGGGGCGGGCTCGCTCCGCCACCGACGCCCGGCGGGAGGCACAGGCCGACGGGAGCGGCGGCGGCGGTCCGCCCGCGCATGCGCGCCACCCCACGGGCATGCGCCGCCCGGGCACCGGCGGCTGCCGCTCCGGTCAGCGGGCTGGCGGGCGGGAAGGGGCGAGCGGAAAAACGCGCGGACGGAAACCACGGGCGGTGATCCCCGCCCGGCCGGCTCGGGGGGAGCGGCCGCTGCCGAGCGCCCGAGCGGCAGCCGGCTCCCCTCGCTGCCCGCCCCGGCCGCAGAGCGGAGCCGGGTGCCGAGCCCTCCGAAACCGCAGCGGGTTGCGTGGGGCCGCAGGTCCGCTCCGCACAAGCATCGCGCGGGTGCGTGGGGCTCCGGAGCCGCCGGCCGGCGCTGCTGGGTCGCAGAGAAGGAGCGCACGGCTCCGGGCGGGGACGCGCACCCGCGAGAACCGGTGAAGCTGCGAGTCACTCGAGTGATCGTGTGAAGTAGCATACGTCAGGTATCTTCAAAGCAAACTGGAAAAGCACGATAACGTGGCCTGTAGTGGTAACGCTGCTTTAGACACTATGGATATAAAAGCAGGCAGTGTTTGAAAAGAAGCAGTATCATCCCTTAGGTTAACTGTGGGGGAAAAAGCTTTAAGACGGTAGGCTATTACATAGATATACGTACCAGATTTTAAGCACATAGCCAGTCTTCAGACCTGAAGTGAGAAAAGTAAGAGGGCTTATTTATGTCCCACATAATTTTCCTGTGTTGGTGGAGCTCATAAAAAGGCGCTGCCTCTCACCACGAACCTCACCTCTTTGTAACAGCAATGTTAATTTATCTCTTGCTTTTTTTCCTTACAATTGCAGTAATTCATTCTCCATGCCGGTGTCCCCTGTAGTCTTTACAACTGCGCTGCTACCAAAACAGACTTCCAAACTCAATTATCACGGGGTTACGTTACGCTACTGCCACGGTGCCTGCAAATTCACTAGTAGCAGAGCCAACCTAGACATCCTCCTACAGCCAAAAGGGGAGCTCTCAGATATCTTTTGAGAAGTACTAACATCTTAGATGACATCAAAAGTATTCAAGGAAAAGTGCTCCATGTAAGATTTAAAAAATAATAACAACTATACGAAACATTTATATGCCTAGATCAGAAGAGAGACTGAAAACTCCAGTGTTTTCTTGATGAGGCAAAAAAATAAACCCCACATCCCAGAAACACAGGAAGTAATGAGCTTCACAGCACTAACACTGATTTGCTCTTTTTAATGGTTTAGAGGAAAAAGTAGATCCATGACAAAAGAGTTTGAAGTAGCATGCCAAAGTATATACAATTTGAAGAAAAAACAACTGTCTACAGCATTTGAGAACAAAAGGAACCTGAAAATGAGGAAGTAGTACAAACGGATTCAAAGAGTATTTTTTGCTTTTTAGGGCTAGGCAGACAGTGGGTTTCAAGGAAGGAAATAAGAAAAAGCAACACACCGATGTTCTCACTGAATTTTGATCAGCCTGTTTTGATCATTTTGGCAATTTATAATAACAACTGGATCAGAGTCAGAAAGAAAAAGGAGGTAGAAGAATTATACTATAAGAGGTAAATAGCCAGGCTGAAAATATGTTTATCTGTACATTTGTTCCCTCATCTCAGAAACAGCAGACAATTTTAGCTACAGCACTTGAAGCTCTGATATTGACATGCCAATGGTTGTAGGGTATAATTCAGCAGCCATGGATTTTGCTGGCTAAGCCCTATTTTCCCTTGAAATGCTCTCAACACTGAGGCCTGGAAGGAGCAACTGATAGATCTGGTTATTAGCTGTGCATCATAAATGCTCAACAGATGTTCTCACAGGCTATGAACTAAAGCAATCCAATCTGCTCACAGACAGAAACAATTTTGGTATTAGTGCTCAACACCACATTGAGATGCCTCTTATAAAGGAGAAGTGGCATGGGACGAAACTGCTTGCAGCTTTGCACCTTTATAGTCATATTTTTAACTACATATATCTCTATATGATTTTATGAGGGAAAACGCAGTAAATATTTTTCAGTATTTAAGAAAAATGGAGAAAATTATATAGCAGTAACACTTTGCATTATACTTACACTATATATTCAGCTGCACTGTGCTAAAGCAGCATAAACAGCAATCATTCTGTGTCTACCAAATACCAGACTATTCCAGTTCAAACTGTACTCCTTTCCTTATGCACCTGCGTGCTTTTTTTCTGTTCTCCTGGTCACATCTCAGTGGTAGCAGCCTATGAGCACCTGCCAAATTACCTTTAGGAGGCCAAGGGGAGCAGGTAAGGAGAGAGAAATCCAGCTGTCAACTACGAACCACACACGTGAGCCAGGGGGCTGCCCCACAGCTGCTACTTTACAGACATTTGTTTCACTACCTTATTTAACAAGATCCCAAGCACCCTGAGACTTGACTGCAGTCGTCTATGGAAAAATACAACCACCTTGCCAAAAACCCCAGCACTTCTTAGCTTTGGTGATTTATTAAGTCCCTTGATGTGTGCAGAGAGGGAAAACCACATAATATGTCTCATGTCCGTACAGTTTAGAAAACCACAAATGAAGGAGGACAGAAAAAAAAAAAAAAATAAAATCCCAGGAACATCAGGCTATGAAGCACACTGATATCAAAGATGGTAACAGAGAAGATGGTAGACCAAACAAGAAGAGCAAATGTAAACACGGACAGATTCCCCACCTGCACTTCAACACACACCAGTGTTAACATACTGGAAGCCATATGCACCATACACAAAATTAAAAACCTGGCTAAAGCATTTCGAGACTAAACCCAAGCCCCCGTCACTTGCTGCTGCTACAGTCGCCCGCAGCGGTGGTTCACGACGGCTGAAAAGGCATTTTGAAACTGTTAGCGAGAAAGGGCGAGAGAAACGGGCCGGGAACCGGGAGCGAGCGGCGATCCGCCACCCCCGGGCCGGGAGAGCGCGGGGGCGGCGGGGAGGGGGTGGGAGCAGCGCGGAGGAGGCGAGGAAGGGAGGGGGGGTGGGGAGAGAACAGCCGCTTTACCGGAACGTGGAGACACCGAGGTGGCATTTAGGAAGAGGAAGGGGGAGGAAATACAGGTGCAAAAGAGCAAATATGGAGATGAGGGGGTGGGAGTGGCTGGAAAGGGGGTGGAGAGGAAGGAAATCAGCCGTGGGGGGCCGGAGGGGCCGGCAGCGAGGAGGCGGTGGCAGCGCCCCTCGGCCCGTGGGAAGGAACCGGAGCGAGGGGCGGCCGCGCCTGCCGGGCCCGGAACCGGCCGCTGCCCCGGCGCCGCTCTGCCTGGGAGAGCGGGGCCCGTGGCTGCCGCCGCCGCCGCTTTACCGCAGGGGCGGCTGTGTCTGGCTCCCGCCCCTCAGGCGGCTAAGCTGTTCGATCACCGGGGAATTTCGGCGTTTATACGTCCCCCCGTGTTAGCTGATGCTTAAAACCGGTTTATAGAGTCACAGGCTTCTGCCGGGCCGCCCGCGGCCTGCGTGGCGGCGGGCGCCAGCCGAGGAGCGGGAACCCGCCATCTCGGCCCATCGCGGCGGCGTTTCCTTGCCCCAAACCTGGGGTGTCGCCGTCCCTCCACGAGCAGGAGGGGCGACTGCACTGCGGTGCAGGGATGCCGGTGGTTATCGTTACGGTGTCGGCATTTACTTAGTCTTCTGTTTTATAGGTGCAGCACTAACTGGTTTAAATAAAACCGATGGCGCTGAAAGGAGGCCTTGCTCTCTTTTTCTGCATCGTTTCGGCGACTCAGTCCCACTTCTGGTCTTCTGAGAGATCCTTTTTTAAACTAACTTAATGGAAGTTTATTTTTAGGGTCTCAGAGAGCAGAACAGCCCTGTTCACTGAAAGGAAAAATATATTAATGCCACTTAAGTTATTTGAAATGATCCTATTTACTGCTAGTTCATGCTGTAAATAGGATAACTGTTCTGCGGAATCACTGCTGGTTTAATATGTAATCTGAAATTATTTACCACTACAAAACTTGTTTAAAATAATCCTAATTCTTCTTTTGGATAGTTCTGTGATTTAGGTAACATTTGAAATTAAATTTGTGCAGCTGCTTCATGAGGCTCATACTTCACTCACAGAGGAGCTGGGGTAAGTACTGTACTCAAGTGAAGTACTATGAAAGCTGTGGTTAAAAAGGTTACTGTGTAATCTTGTTTTTTTTTTTTTCCTGTTCCCAATATTTTAAATTGTTTGGTGTAGACAGATAACTGATTGGAAGTTGTGTCTTCCATTCAGTGGAGATTTGCTATAGGTTGTTGGTAGATTGTATGGTGTGTGTGGGGAGGAAGGGCACATCAATCACTGAGCTGAATTCCTGTCTAGATTACAAATGTCAGGTTAGTTATAAATCCTGATCTATCACCACTTGGCTATTTTTAGTAATTAGATCATGATTACAAACCAGAAATATTCTTATAACTGATCGGGTTACATGCAAACACTAATCCTTGTGCATAATGGCTTCTTGAATTGTCTAAACACTCAGCACAAGGCCAGCAACTAGCACAAGACAGACACACTAATGTGTATCGTGACCTTCAATATTTCTTTGATTTTAATGTTTTGTTTTCCATTCTTTGGAACACAGTTTTCCTGAAAAAAAAGATGTAACCATTAATAAATAGGTTTCTCAAAGTTTCTTTGAAGTTGTAATCACAAATAATCATCATTTTTTACTCCTCTACTACAAGTTTGCTGTGTCTCAGCATAAAGCTTAGTCTGGAGAAGTATCGCTAGTCTTAAAAACCTGCATGGTAGGAAAGATTTGGTGTTAGGTGGCATAGTGGACGGATATGAATGATTTGCCTTTGATAGAGGAAGAGGCATTGCTTATTGTTTATTGCATAAGAGACACTAAAGTCTATTTCAGGGTTTGGGAGAGGTCTGGATAAGCCATATGTAAGCTGCTGTTGGCACTAGGATATTCATAAAAAATAAGAAGTTTGACATAGCCTTACTAATATTTTATCAAAATTTTTCAAGTTGTCGTGACCCTTGTGGTATTACAAATATAGTAGCATGCATGTAAATTGATGCTTAATCAACAG